AACTTAAAGAAGTCCAGACGCTTTTCTTTGCAAGCTCCTTTGACTACGATGACCTGGATGACTGAGAACCTTCACAGACAAATAAATGGATGATTAATCATTAATAAATGTTTCAGAGTACAGGAAGAGTAATTGTTAGGTTTTAAAATAATACCAGGCCCAGTATATCTAAGACATGAAAACATAACAGCCAAAATTATAACATGATTAATAATTATAATGATTCTATTTTATTGAAAGTGAAAGTAGCAAAAACATTCTGGAACTGTTAGGATTTATTATATAACCACTTATAACCATAACAGCTTTTAAACACATCCACACAAAAAAATCCTCATAACTACTGTTTGTAATCATGGATAATAATTCAGCTGTAATTAGCACTCACAGCACGCTGTTTGCTTATTGCAACTTTCTCTGTGCATTTATGAAATTTCCTCTTGTGGGACTAATAAAGGTATATCAAATCAAATCAAAGCTGTGGTAGAAACGCCAGCTCAGGTGCTTTAATCTCAGTTTGATGTCAGTGAGCTCAGAGAAATGAAAGATCCGAATTTGTTTGTTTTTTATTCTAAAAGAATGTAATTTAGGGTATTTTTAATTTTTGTGGCTTTCAAATCTCAGAATTGGTAACATTTTATCCAAAACGTATGTGACAGTTAATAGTTTGGTAAAACCTCTGAATCTAAACTGATTGAAGTTTCCATATTAATACAACTCCTAAACGTTTGCAAACTAAAAAGACAAATTACAGAACGTTCCAGCTCCACTCCTCCAGCTTGATTTTTCTCTGCCCATGACTTGGTGTACCCCCGCCTCTCCACCCTAGCAGCGTCTTCTCTGTCTGTGTTTTCCTCTACAACGCCCACCATCTGTCTGTGCTTCCCTGTACAGACCAGGTGCTCCATCACTCCTCTGCGGATGTCTGGCCTCACACCTACGTCTCGCAGGGCCTGTACTGCCTGTCGTCTTCTGACGCCTGGGACCCAATCACCAGCCAGCCCGAGGGCGTGGCATCGCCTGCTGCAGGCTCCTACATCATGGCTGCCGGTGATGATTTATCATCCTCTCTTACAGGCTTTAAGCACCAGACTGTGTCGCTGAGCACTGCGCACCGGGTGTCTTGTGGTTGTTGCAGGTGGCAGCAATGGAGCAGGAGGCACACCTGGTGAGGGGTACGAGGGGACAGTAGGAAGTTACATTCAGCAGCACCAGGTTCAACTCGCCCTGCAGCAGCAGAGTCAACTCCAACAGCTCCAACAGCTTCATCACTACCAGCAGCAACAGTTTCTGCAGTACCAACAACAGCAGCAGGTCTGTGAAAGTGATTTTTATAAAGCCCATAAACCC